AAGAATGTTAAACCCCAAAAAGAAAGTTAATGCAAGAAATTAATGGGAACTAATACAACTGCCCCAGACCTTATTCAATGATGTAGAACCAAATAAGCAGACAGTAGTTAAAGGTTTCAAACTTCACGGCTTGAGGGTTGGAAAAGTAGTTAACTTGACAAATTGCAAAGGCAGACGTGGAAGAACATCGAAGTAGAAATGTTAATACGAAATCGAGTAAACGAAATGAAAAGAAAATTTCCGAATCCTTAATCAGACTCAAAAATGTAAGAGAACCGACCTTAGTGTCAAGCATGACAGCACATAATATGCCAGTGCTGGCCATGGCGGTCCTGAGATTGTTCAAGGTCTCCTGATGATAATCATGCGTGCCGTGAGAGAAATTGAAACGAGCAACGTTCATCCCAGCCCTGAGAAGCTTCTCGATCATTTCCACAGATCGAGAAGCCGGGCCCAACGTGCACACGATCTTGGTCTTCGGAACACGCCCATCGTTGGGCAGCTCCTTTAAAATCCCTCCGATGTCAATGTTCGCCATTCTTCGTCAATCAGTACGCTTCCTACACAAACAGCAAACACTCTGATTCATAAACAAGAAATCCGGAACCCAAAATACGCACTTAGAACAAAAACAACCCAGAAACCCCAGATCGATTGTAAGCTAACAGAAATACACAGAGGCACATGGTATGATAGGAAAAGTAAATAAAAACAACAATCAAACAAACGAACAAACCAAACAGAGTATGAGTTGAAAGAATTGCAGCCGGGAAATCAAGAGAGAGATTAAGGATTAGAGACAGTTTACTTTACCCTTTGAGAAATGCTAAACGTGTAAAGATTACAGAATATTGAATCAGAAGAATAATATCTAACGGCTGGACGATGCAGAGCCACTCAATCAAACACCCTTTCGTCGATGAGAGACTCACCTAACTCGTAAGCGCAAAATGGTTTGGTGACACCCGAATTTGTAATCTCCGGATCGGTTTTCGAGCGAGTTTAGTCTGTGTGCTTGTGCTTCGCTGACCACAAAAAGAAAACGCCAACGGGTTCTATCGGAGGAAAAGTCTCAATCTCACGTAAACGACGCCGGTTTGCCCTTACATTTAGAAACGTTGTCAAATTCTTTTATTGAAAACGTGTTTGAGGCATTTTCGGATACTAAACATTACTCAAGATCAGTGCATTCTATGCTACACCAAACTACTATTGATATTTAGAGATAATTCTCGAAATACTACCTCCGGTCCTTAATATAAGATCCCGTTTGACTTTTAATTTGGTCCTAATTATAAAATCTTAGTTCATTTTGTCTCTCATATTTATATTTTTTTTCTAAGATAGTCCTTCTAATAGTGACAGTTTTAGCCAATACACTTAATTAGTAAGGATGTTTTAGGAATAAAAACACTTATTTATTACAAATAACTAACTTAACTTACTTCCTTAATCTCCTCAAATTAGTCAACTATGTCTTATAATTAAGACCGGAAGTAGTAGTATTTTCTATGTTTACATAATCTTGAAATTGAATTCATGAGTTTATGTTTAGTGCTAATCGTAAACAACAATAAGCGAATTAAAACTATAGCAATTCATGAAAATTTAGATAAATTAAGGCTGGTTACCTTATTTGTTTTTTGGGTAAGAATTATAAAAGATGTAAAATTTCAATTTTAGTAGATAAACATTTTGAATTTAGGGAGTGTTTGGATAGAAACCAAACCATAGTTTCAGAAGTGTTTTTACGGATTACGAAGTAAATATGTGAAAGAGGTTATCTCGTTTTGTAAAAAAGTGTTTCTGAAACCATGGTTTTGAAGCACCCAAACAGGCCCTTAGACTAAAGTACATGAAATGAGCATATCAAAGGAAGTGAATGAAGGGAAAGGAGGGATATGCGAGTAAAAGATGCGAATCCAAACCCTATGGGCTGAAGCTTTGTGTTTGCGTTCTGTGTGCGCCGCTTGGCTTTTCATAAAACCACGCAACGCTCAGTTCTTCTTCTCGGCCTTAGAAATGCCCTCTGCATGCTTGAATCCCTCAAATCAAAAGAAAAGCAGCTGCTTGTCTGACACCCCACGCTAACTTTATTTATTTTGACCAATCACTTTGATGGTATGAAATTCTTCCTAGGTAAGTCGGATTCGGTGCTCGCCAAACATTTGTACTTAAAAAAAAAAAAAAAAGAGGAGAAATTACAAAAAAATATTTCTGAATTGCATAAACGCAGATAAAGACCCTTGACAACTTTACTTTGAGTTTTGACAAGAATAATATGTTAAAGTGAAGTTCTCAAGGATCCCTATCTGCGTTTTTATAATTTCAAGGTTTTTTTTTATAATTTTCCCTAAAAAAAAACGTTGATAGATATACTTACAAATTATTTATCAACAAGACTTTTATATTAACAGTAAAATTTAAACTTATAATTTATGGGTTATGAATTAACTTCTCGTCACTGAACCAACCTTTGTTTGCAATGGTACAAAAACTCTTCAATATATTTGTATTTATAAAAGAAGTTGCAAGTCTTGATTTTGCTTGTAATTTCATCCGGATACTGTCTGCACTTTTAATTAAAAAACTTTATTCCTTTCAACTTTTTGAGCCGACAAAGTGTAGTAAGGGCTAACGAAACGCTGAAATAACTAATGAAGTATTATAAATATCCTGAACATCCAACGGTTGAAAATGTGTTATTATTTGCTACTATTTTTTATTCTAATTATAAGATTTTATTGGTAGACTTTTACAGATAAAATCTTATAATTAGAATCGGAAATAATAACTACACATAGTAAACAGTTAATGAAGTGTAAAATGAATATCGACATGGCCGACACAAGTGCGTAAAGAGTGGTCAGACTAAATTGTATATTCCTTCCTGCTTATAATATAAGTCATTTTAATTAATTCATCCTGCATCAATATCAAAAAATAATAATTAACTTATTAAATTATTTTAAATTAAATTTTTTTTAACTTTCCTCATATTAAACGAAGTTATAAAATAGAGAGAAAAATATAAAGAATCATAACTAAATTGACAAATAAACATTAATTATTCTTTAAGTAATTTGTATTGTAGACATTATATCAGTAAACAAAAAGTTCCTGCTCTCTGAGGGGGCCTCTTTTTAAGAAAAACAAATCCTTTGTACGTTATGAGGAAAAATCGTTCAACGTTAGTTAGAACAGAGGACTTCAAAGGATAGTCCAATCCAACCCCCAAGCATGTGGTTTTTGACGGTCCCCAGTATCAATCTCAAATTTACCCGCCACTTTAAGATATTGAGGGATTACCGTTAAGTCATAAGATTAATTTGACCATAATAAAGTGCTAAAAATATTTTATTTTATTTTTGGTGAATAATTATTTTTAACGTAAAATATAAAATAATTCTTTGTTCAGCTTCTTGTCATCAGCAAGGAAACAAGCCTTTGGCTGACAAGGACCGTTTCCAAAATTCTTTTTTCCTATTGGGAAACAAGTGAAGGAAAAACTAGAGGCAATTGGGGGAAAAAAAATTCCCTCTTAAAAATTTTCTGGCTCGCACACGCCTGAAGTCTAAGCTGCTTCTTCTTTATTAGTATATGATGTACTTAATATAAAATTAAAACCTAGTTGATTAATTTAGGAAGATTAAAAAAAATTAGTTAAATTAGTTATTTGTAATAAATAGGTAGTGTCTTTCTTAGACTATCTTTGCTAATAATGTATATTAGCTAAAACTACCATTTAATATTACCTTCGATTTTTAATATAAGAGTTCATTTAACTTTTATTTTGATTATAAATATAAAACCCCAATCCATTTTGTCTCTCATATTTATCTATTTTTTTTCACTATAGCCCTTATAATAATAATAGTTCTAATCAATACACTTGATTAATAAGGATATTTTAGAAAATACAAAACTTATTTATTAAAAATAACTAACTTAACTAATTTTCTTAATTTACTCAAATTAATCAACTAACTCTTATATTAAAGACCAGAGATAGTATAACATATAACATACGCAACTATTACAAGAACTATTTTGGAAAAAAATAGATAAATGTAAGAGACAAAGTATATTGTAATTTTATATTTAAGACCAAATTAAAAGTTAAACTAGTTCTTATATTAATAAATTTATTTTTAATGAAATATAATTTTTAATCGCATATGGAAAGACATTCTATTTCTTTTCTTTTTGTTTTCCTCCTCCTTCCCCCCAGTGCTCTTCAGAGTACCTAGTATTATTAATTTATTATAGCCATCCGAAACTAAAAATAATGATGCTCACAATTTCTTATAAAACCCAAACTATTAGCATTACTCATAAAATCTTTGGCGTACCATGCATTTATTCATATATATAGATAAAGATGCGTGTGTTTATCCCAACACACAGTTGGCAAGAAAAAAAGAAAGTGTCTTCACCTGCAGATGTGTTCACGATGGATCTATACATACACATACAAGAGTTCAAATTTGATTGGTACGCCAGTTCCAAAGACTACAATTTCACAACCATGTGGCTCCTTTTCTTAAGGGTTTTTACATATCATTTTTTTTTTTAATCAGATGCATACACTAACAACATAAGCAAGATCAAACCTGTCATTTCCTTCTAAATTATAACCTCATTGGCGGGATTGTTACATATCCCATATGGCTCCTTGTTAATGGATTTGACGGTCACATCTCAGTGGCAATCACACATGAGAGAGTATACAATTTAGTTGTTAAATTTCTCAAAGGTGTATATTTTCCATATGCTTCTTTTCATGGACCTGGAGTAGTATTCCAGACAAGACATCATTTCATTTCCGACAAAAACCAACAATACTAAATCAGAAATCTTACCATTTTGAGGAAAGATTAGGAGCTGACATCGTTTGAGAGCAATTACGATGTCTTACCCCTTCATTATGATTCTGTTCAAAAATTGAAGCTTCAGCGGAACACCTCACCAGTTATTCCGTTGATTCCCCGGCTGGTCCAGAAGTTGAATTTCAAAAGTAGATTACTCATAGATAATTAACATTAGCATCCACTCCAGATTTTAAACAAGCAGAGTAAATTGCGGATAGAAAATCCACATGATCAAACCAAAACAAAAAAATATGTTCATATGCCTAAATGTGGTATTACACAAATGTTACAGAGCCCATAATTTTAACCTACGTGCTTCAAAACTGGTTCCTAACTTCGGCAGAATATACCGGGGTGAAACCAGAATTAGGAACAAAAGCCAGGAAGACCAAATCAACGATAGAGGATGACCGGCCAGAAGGATCACTCAACTGAAAGGGTAAGCTTTGGGTCCATATGCCAATAAAATTCCTTTTTCACGAGTCCTCAGCAGTTGTAGCAGTGGCTTGTCGAATTCTCCTTTGATGCACGTCCCAATTATACACTCGGGCAATTGTTACCTGATTATATATATAGATGAACTATTTATCATAAATACCATGTGTTTTTTTTTTCCCCAGCTCCTATGATAAATACCATGTGAAGTTTATTGGATAAATGTGCATTTCTTGTTGATTATACCATGTGTTTTTTTGCCATTCGTTATCATAAAAGCTCTTTGAACTTTTACTGTGCATTTCCTGTTGATTACAACAGGAAATGCACAGTAAAAGTTCAAAGAGCTATACAAGCATATAAAACATTGTAAATGACAAGTATTCTTGCTTCAAAAAAGAATTAAAAAAATGGGTGAAATTTGAGTGGCTACCTTCAGTAAATTTTTTCATCGCCAATTTAGGGGTTGAAAATAGATGAAAATGCTACACTGAGGTCCAAGTCACATTATTTTCATTAATACAAATTTTCAGATCCACTACCAAGAATAGCCAGTAAAATTAAACCTTTCCCTCCTCAATTCTCACTAGTTTATGTTCTTCTATTTATTCTCCCTCCCGCTAAGCCACCCTAATTGTAGTAAAGGCAAGCGCTTAAGGACATGGCTCCTGGCCACCCAATACATGCCCAACGCCCACAACATATATTTTTTTATGAGGTGACTGCACCAAAAAGAGATAGAGGACTTCATAATTAGAAATCTAACCTGAGTCACTGTCACCTGGTCCCTCAGGAACTGTAGATCGGTGATAAGAACCTCTAAACTGGCTTTAGCATTTTCCAAGTTCTTTTGGAGAAGACCAGTAGCCTGCAACAAAAACTAACACAGTTTAAGTCCAGAAAAATATATTAGAACATTAAAATAGAGATTAGACAGATAAAGTAATAACATATAAAACGAACAGTCAAGGACCTCTTCTACTGAATATTCCAACATAACATTGGCTCCAAGCCATAAACAGACAGAGTCAGTTTCCTCTATGCGAGCACGTGAATATATGCCCTCTGAGACTTCAAAATCAGCAATAAGTTCCTGCAGTTATGCAATGCACGCTGTCAGGAATACAGTACCTAGTTCATTACATGCGCATATAACTATCTACAAGATGATGAATCGATTATTATGGGCCGTCCATCAACAGATGCCAAAAGTTTAGCAATAAGTCTAACCATTGAAGACAGGAAATAGGTCAGTTGAATCCAACAAACAACAACGATAGTAGCAAAGAAGGAAAATAGCAAACTCTAAACAAGAGGTCATTAACATCAACTTCTAATTGTCCTTAAAGTCAAGTTTCTTTAATCTAAACCAGGATGCATGAACAGTGTGTGTGTGTGTGTTTTTCTTTTTTGGGGGGGGGGTTGACCCACCTGGTATCCAGCCCACTTTCAACTGGAGGACTCAACAGGGCCCAAACTAATTCATATGAGCCAAGCAGAACCATAAAGGGATGCTATGCTTCCAAGTACGTAACACAGCTATATTCCCAGGATTCGAACTTGAAACCTTTGGTTATAAAGTGTGCAACTGCCTGCTACTTGAACCGAGTGCTTGGTAGTAAAAAGTGTGCGCGCGCGTGTATATATATATATATAATATATTTTTACTGATAAAGAAGCTGAGAAAACAGGAATACACAGCAGGTATCGATTTTATAGCAGCAAGCGGTCATCACATATACACTCAGATTTAGGGCAACTCCATACACAGACAGAAAAAGGTGGACTTTCTAATAGCCATTTAATATGACCAATCACATCTGCCTCTTTCCTCAAACATGTAGTCCAAGTTCCTTGAATCTAAATGTAATACTTTACAGGTGAAAACAAACTGAAAACGAACCTCACCAGTACCCTTCTTAGCTCTCAGTGTAGCAACAACTTCTAAGCACTTTTCAATATCTGGGATCTTTGCCTGAGAACAACTAAAAATATCAGCAACAATGAAATCTTTCCTTTAATATATAAGAAAAGTTAACAAAAACAAGACTAACAGTTTTCTGTGAATCAAGTCATATAACCCATAGTTAACCTGAGGTTATTCATGGTCAATCAGCAGAAGCCTAAACCTCTGGTTGACATTAAAATGTCCAATTGGCATATATTCCTACTTAATATAACAGTCAAAATATTACATGTGCTACAAATTCTACTTTGAAAAGAATCAGATATGAAACTTCATAAGTAGTAGAAACTGAGAGTTCATGTCATAGCCAACATTATGAATGTATAAATTTTTTACAATGGGCATTACTACCTGCAGATCCCTTTGCTGAGCAAGAAGCTTCATTTCAACTACTTTATATTGCTGTAGTCTGCAAAATAAAGTGCTAGGTCATCATTGATAAAGAAAATGATAAAATAATGATGAACGGAGACTCCTCCCAACGCATGAAAAGGATTGCCCAACAGTGTTCTTTTAAGTGTAAGAATATCCTTATGGTTTCTCAAATATCCAGCCAAAGCATCAACAACAGTAAGAATACAAGGAGAATTATGAGCTTAGATTCCATGTATAGTATTTAAACTTGGAAAAAAAGAATTCCAAACAAGGGAGATAGTAATTATATGGTCTACATAAAACGAGGCTAAATGAATCAGAGCTGGAGCTCAAAACTCGCCAAATTCAAAAATGATTACATCAAAGCCATATCTTCCCCATTAGCATTCTGCAACTGTATCACTGAAATTAATATTTGACTTCTACTATTAGTAATTCCCCTGTTGTGTATTTTAAATATTCAATATGTTTCTTCAATTCAAGATCACTGCCTTCGTGTCCCCATATTTTAGAGTAACTGGCAACCCGAACTAATTCTCATTCTCTCTTATCCAGCTGGCACAGAATTTATTTGTGCCATCACCATCTTCAAATAAAGTACTTTCCACGATAGAACCATGAAAAGTGCATAGCATATTGGTCCCTGTCACATCATTTACTTAATTTTACATGAAAAGTCACTGAACAGGGTAAGATATCCCAACCTTCCGACGAGAACCTTAACCAGTATGCCTCTTCCCATCACCATCAATTACAAATTTGCATCGACACATGTATCTCTCTAATACTCCTTCTGTCTCTTATTATAAGATTCAATTTTTTGAATAGGTTTGTCTCCTTTTTATAAGATCCTTTTTGAGTTTGTCTGAATATTTAATGCATTATTACCTATTTTGCCCCTAGTTTAATGCATTTAATACATTCTCTTTCTTCATTCATCTCACTATTTCTCTCTCACATCTACCCATTTATATATGGGGGCATATTTGGAAAAAAAAATTGCATTTGCTACATATTAATTGCTTTTAACTAATTTTAATTGTTTTCTTAAACCGCGCAATTTAGTTAAAAGCATCTTATCATAAGAGACGGAATAGTAGAGGGCTGTCTAGGACACAAGACACAAGATATGAAGAAGGGAAATGGTAAGGGGGATGTGAGTGAAAAATGATCCTCATGTCCCTCCAAAAAAATTATTATTAAGAAAACGGATAAATATTATTGAGTGATGATAAAAAAAATGCATAATAGACAGCAATAAAGATTCCTTTTCGCTCCCCAATTAGTTCTTGTGCCCCCCAACTCCAATCCTCCCAGCAGCTAATATCAAGTTTTCCTCCCAGAAATCTTACGAACTGTCAGTTTCATCCTATGGTCCAGATTGAAAAGTCGTTCCTCCGTGTCAAAACATACTGATTAATTTCATATGAAGGGGTATGTTTTATACAGTGTGATTCTGAATCCCTGGCAACTGTTGGATGTGATAAATGACTGAAATGAAAGTTGGAGAACAAACTTGATCTTCATGACCAGAGAGAATCCGCTTAACCACGAGCGTAGGGCATTTCTATAGTTCTGTCATATAAATGCCACATGCACATCTCAATTCCATTTCCATCTAGCCACTATTAATTGAGGGGCACAAACGCATTTAATGTCACCATCATTCGAAGCATTGCTCCAGGGCACTAGAAGGACTGAAAGAGTGCTTCTATTCTCTTAGTTGCACTCTTGCTATACTATCTCCTCGTACAGTTGCTAAAATCCAATCTATACAACATGATCTTCCAATCCCAAATAATTATTTCAGCGGACCTATGGAATCTACATTCAAAAAGTCTGACAACATAGATTCAAATATTCAATACGAGAATAAATAAAGCCCATTCCAGCAGGGATCATACAGCAAAAATCGCACAAGAGCAAGCAGATCCTTCAACCCAACTACATAAGAATATTTATCTAGTGAAGTCGCCAAGTATAGTTTGGCACTCTTATAAGCATGTAAAGCCATAACCAACACTCTATCATGAACAATCAGAGCTTAATCCGCTAATTCCCCAAGGCACCAAAATAGATTGTTCAGTTGAATAGAAATAGGGAAAACGACTTAGAAAGAAATAGTAGGGCGAAGTAAAATAGAAGACGAACCTTTCTTGAAAGAATGCAAGGGCGGACTGGACATCGAGACCTGACTGCGTGAGATAAGTCTGAACGTCCTCCACAAACTGAGCCCCAGGTATTCCTCGTCGCTCCGTCACCATAGCAGATGAATCTGCCGCTGTAGATGACGAGGAAGCAGCCATTGTTCCCTCAAAAATATTCAGTCAATAGCAAATCAGCGGCAGAGAAGAGACGAAGGTGAAGAAAGTCGAAGAATGGAGTTCTGGGTCTCTCTCCCTCCCAAATTGTAAGGGCCGTCAAGACGACAATCCACCCTCGTCGTTTTGATCTTGGATCCATCCAGCTTTATGGGCCCAATCTATCCTCCTTGCAAACTGTATATAGCCTGACCAAAGTTTCTTTTTCTTTGGGCCTTGAATCTGACCCAAGTTAGAACTCTTGGGATTTTTGGAAGAGAATTGAAAGAAATTTATACTATTATTTAAATTCTACTATTTCATTTTAACGTTTGTAAAATATTTAAACCTTTCACATTTTATTTAATCCATAGATTAATCTCAAATCAAGAATAGACTTCCTATGTATTTGCACCAGATATTTAAATTCAACTAAATAGGTTTTCATGTATTATTCTAAATGAAAAAATAAGTCGAATTATTCTCAATTTATTTTAAATTTACAATTCATATTATACATTCCATAGGTAAAATCCTTGCTAAATACTTTAGTGTTTGTATTAAACTCATAAAATAATACTCCTCCGGTCCTTAATATAAAACCCAATTGCTAAGTTGGTTTTGGTCCTAAATATAAGACCCATTTCTCATATTTATCAATTTTCTCTAAATTACCCCTATGGATACTCCATCAACCATAATCAAGTAGAAGATAAATAGGGGTATTAAGAAGATGATTATGGTATTTTAGGAAAAACATGTCACAATTTTTATAATTAACTAACTTACCTAACTTCCATAATCTAATCAAATTAGTTAAATGGGTCCTATATTAAGGACCGGAGGAGTAATATATTTGTTGTTTACTGGGAAAAAATCCTTTAATATTATATTAATAAATAATTAAATATGTTGAAATATTGATGTATTAATGATTAAGGTCAGTGTTAGATTGCAATTAGAAACAGTGAAGTGTGGCCAATTAGTTGAAGGGAATAGGTTAATTAGAGCAAATGATTGGTGCAAGCACAAATTCCCAAGAAGAGACCAATTATGCATGCAGTTATCTTCAAATTAGTTGCCAGTCTTATCCTACGCCTGTATAATTGAAGGTACTAGAATCAAGCGGCATGCCTCACTAGCTGCTATATATTTTGGCATATAATATGTAGCACCAATTCAAAATTACATATATTTATCTTTATATTATTAAAAGTAGCACCTTTTTTTGGGTGGGTGTTATGGTGTTAATTGGTATTATCCGGACCCCACTGGATTAGTTGGGTGAACAAAACAAAAAAGGATTATGTGTTCAATTCAAAACACCTTAAAACCAATCAAAAAATGAACTGGTTGGGAACTAATCAAGATTAATAAAAAAAATGATCAGAATTGATTCTTTTTTTTTTTTTAAGGATTGGCAACACAATCAAGAGAAGATAAATTGAGTGTTTATTAAGGTTTTAATATTGTTAAGTCTTTTTACCATAAATAGCATGTGTGTGTTGATTTACAAGGAGGCTAAATCAATATAATATAAAATTGATTAAAAAAAATTGTAGCATTTTCATAAATTATAAATAGTCCAGTCTGTTTTAAAGTTGATATTAAATGTAGCCTCCATTTTTTTTTAAAATAGTGAAGATGAGTAATCAAAAAATGAGCAGGTTGCGAATTTGATCTTGCTTAGCAAACGTATTGCTTGCCCACTTAAAACGAAAAAAGGAAAGAAGAAAAAGAAAAAGCTTAGTTCAATTTCATTAGAAAATTGTTTCCTAAATTATACTATCTCTGTTTCTTAATATAAGATTTCGTTTCATTTTTATTTTGATCTTAAATATAAGACTCTCATTCACTTTGTCTCTCATGTTTATGTATTTTTTTAAAGTAGTCATTTTAATAATGATAGTTCTAAACAATATACTTGATTAACGAGGATATTTTAGGAAAAACAATATCTATTTCTTATAAATAACTAACTTTACTTATTTTCTTAATCTCTTTAAATTAGTCAACTGACTCTTATAATCAGAATCAGAGGAACAAGGCATTTGGACCATTTTATAATTGTGTGTGAGTGTGAAGGAACCAAATCTTGGCACGTTTAATTTAATATTAATATTAGGCCACATCCTGCTTTGGTTTTGTTTAGTTGCTTTTGGCTTTGCATCCATCACAGAACAAATTTTCCACCTCTCTCTTTCTTCTTTCGCCTCTTCTACACAATTTTGTGGTCCTATATATCTTTGTGTCACCTCACTTATTAATACTACTTCCGGTCCTTAATATAAGACCCTATTTGACTTTTATTTTGGTCCTAATTATAAGATCCCAATCCACTTTGTCTCTCATATTTATGTATTTTTCCAAGTTAGTCGCTCTAATAATTGTAGTCCTAGCCAATATAGTTGATTAGCAAAGATTTTAGGAAAGACACTATCTATTTATTACAAATAACTAACTTAACTTCTTTCCTTAATTTTCTCAAATTAGTCAACTGGGTCTTATAATTAAGACCGGAGGTAGTACTGTTTTATTTTCCTAGCTTTGTTTCAATAATTCTATTTACTATTTGAAAGTCAGATAATTTTTTAATAATTTTTATTCGTACTTCATCTCAACAGTTCCCCCTTCAATTATGAGCCCTTATAAAACCCCCTCACCACCACAGAATATATTTATTTATTTATTTATTTTTCTTTTTTTTTTAGTTCAACCAAAAAACAAAAGATAATTGTCTACCACCCATCACATATATATAAAACAAGAGAGTTTCGAACAAACGTCCACGAAGGGAATAAATTAAGCCTAGCCTATAAATATTACAAATTAAAATGGGCCCCATTAGCAATTTAGCATATTGATTTAGTGCTGTGAAAGCAATTTAAGTGCGTTAGCTATGGAGGTTGGTCCCTATCCATTTTTCAAACTTGAATGTTTGTGAGTTCCTCCATCACTGTTCACTTTGTCTTTGAAAGAAACCACTTCATTATCACACAAAAACAAATAATCAAATATTATATATAAAAATGAATATGAATATCTACACAATTTCTTTAAAAAAAAAGAAAATTTGAAGCAAATGTTAGTGGAAAGATATTTTGTTCTGTCTATAGGTGGCTCCTTTAAATAGTTTTTTCAAATCTTTCTTGGCTATACATTTTATATGATAAAATATCTAAATTCACATGTTTTTGCTTTTTTATTCCATTTAAAAAATTCATTTGTTTTATTTTTGGGAAATATGGTTTAAAATACTTGTTTGGAAATTCTCTTCTATTTTGAACTATTTACAAAAAATTTTAAAACAAAGGTAATTTACACATAACTAAATGTATGTTTTACAGAACTGAAAAAGGGCTACATTAGTTGAAGATGAGTTGTACTTATTTAAATTTAAGTATCTTTAACCAACAAAATTTTTAAATAGGTACTTTAATATTTTTTTTAATTTTTCTTGTGGCATGAACAAGAAATTTGATTAAGCAAATAATGGAGTGACTCTCAAGTCATTATCATTGGCTGATCAAGCATCAATTTAGGTGATGGTGGGAATTCAAGAGTACCACAAGCATCCGCTTCTGTTAGTCAATAATAATAAGCCCATAGAAGCCTATAACCTATTGTGCTGCAACTAACCAGAAACCATACCATTATGATTATATTCATTATTTTTTAATTAATTCCCATGTTCCTCAAAATTTAGTTTTTTTTTTCCTGGTCATAAAAATGATAATTTAAGGACTTAGTCCAGAATAATAACTAATATCTATTTACGCAGATTTTAAAATGACTTGTATTATTTATAACATGTTAAAAAAAAAAAGTATTCTCTTGTGTATTTATATTTTGCAGACCATCTTCTAGAAGGTGTTTTTATTCTTTTTATGAGACATATGATAATTTTAAAGAGTTTTAAATATTGTTCATTATTTCATTAATACGTATGAATTAGTTAAAAATGCATATTTCACTTTAGTCTCTATCATAAAGCATTTCCAACTATTAGTTAAATCATTAAATTTATTTTAAAATGCAAAAAAAAAATCAAACTTTAGCTTAGTTAAAACCGTGAGTTGTCTTGAGGAGCTTAAAAGAAAAATTGTGTTGAATTTTAAATGTAAGTGATCTTGAAAAAATATATTATCTTCATTACTAAATATAAAAGCTATGTAATAAGTTTTTTAAGTTTTATATATAAAATTTTAATCTACTTTGTGTCATAAATTTATTTTTTTAAAATATATCCATTGAATTTTGTTTTAAATTTATTAGCAATACTTCAGCACAATATATTGTATAGTAAAATCTCTTTTTAACAAGAAAAATGTAAAACTACTATAAATACTTTATGGATATATGGAAACGTAATATAAACCTTTAAACGTTAAAAATAAAGAAGAAGTATAAGAGAAGAATAGAAAATTAGAGTGAAAAAACTAGAGAGTAATTCTTATTCTATTTAAAATATCATAGGCGGAAGTCGTATTCCTTAATTCTATTTATATAGGTTTATCGAATCTCAAGTAATAAATAAACTCTCATACTAAACAATTTTAAAATGTAGTTTCTCAGTTATAATCACAATTCTTTCCTTTCATCCTCAACGCTTCATGCGAAACTACATTTGAGATTTTTGTTTTGTTTTTTTTCCTCTTTTGGTGGATTTTTCTTTTTCTCTTTAGATTTGTTGGTTTCATTTCACACGCTGTAATTTTCTTGGAGGGTAATGGCCACGCCATGAATGACCCCTCCATGTGATTCACACAGATTTTGTTAATATTAAAAGGAAAATGCAAACTTTTCAAATGCTTATCCTTTTCTTTCCTTCTTTTCTTCTCACAGACCGTGTGGACAAATCAACCTCCACTGTTCAATTCTAAAACGAATAGAACATTTTCATTGGCGGCGGCTTTTGTAATGATGTGCTTAATTATATAACAATAGAAGAAGAAATGTGGGCCCCACATTACCAAAAATTAAAATCATTGAATTATGAATTATTATTTATTGCAAGAATGTTCTATTTATATTTCAAAAAATATAATAAATTGTTAACACTTTTGTATTATAGCCATTTTAAAAAAAAAA